AGTGCTATATTTTCCAATTGATAGTACCCCCTTCTTTAGGTGCTCGAGTAGGTCCTTGGATTAGATGGTAGATTATTACACCTACAAACTGCTTGTACAGTRGCTCTTTATTATTGCCAGCATTATTTTATGTACCATCTTAAAAAGATTAGTCGTAAATTATAATGGGAATAAATTGTTCATAAAAATGTTTTATTTATACTCATGAATAGGTTAAGACAAGCAGAAGAAGAGATTGATAAATTAAAAACCTTTGAACCAATGCTTCGRAAGGAGCTTGATGCATGTCAGGAGGTAGGAAAATTAAATATTTCAAAATAGGAGACAGACGCACAGACAGACATACAAAAGTTATTCAACTAGATGTAAAAAATGATTATAAAATATTACCATAATTGTTTTTCCTCACTACTGCCTCTGTAAAATTCAACATGGAAGTTGAGTGTCATAAAATTATAATGACTGCAGCGGTCATGCTTGCCGMGCAAACCTCGTAGAGAAGCACAGCCTTTATGGAGAGTGATGGTTGTAAGATTACTTTTTTAAAGCYATTTTCTTTTTAATTTTTAATGTTTTAACTTCCATGTTTTTTTATCTTTTTTTTTTCCAGGACAAAAGGAAATTGGCAAACCAAGTAGATCAGTTAGAAAATGCTTTACAATCTAAGACAGATGAAGTGGAAAATTTAAAGAAAAAATTAGAACTTCAAGCAGAAGTAGCATTGGAAGAAAGACATCGACATGAAGAGGTAAGCTCAAAGCTCTGAGCTTACTCGATTAACAAGTTCAGCTTTTGTGTGCAATGCAGTAAACCCTCGTAAMTGGTTTTAAATCCAAGGAATGCAAATCAGTTTAATACATGTTTTTTAGTTATATAGTTTGTTCATAAATCATTTCACSAAGCCTTAGATTACAGATTGAACAATTTGCCTTCCAAAAAGTAGCACCCCTTGTTATGTCCCCCACTTCTAGTGCCTATGATGTTGCCATGTTTGTTGATTATTTTCTGCAATTTATGGCTTTGCAGGAAGTACACACATTARCCAATCAACTGGTGGAATTGGAAAAATTTAATTCTGAAGCAAAAGTTAAATTAAAGGATGTTCTGGACCTTGAACATAAATCAACTGAGTTAGAAGAACGAGTACAACAGTTAACAAGGGTATGAAAAAAGAATGTTTTATAAATACTCATTTATTGTTAGCATTAATACTGGTCTTATATCATACCAGTTGAGAACATTACCACCAAAATATTATTTTATTACTCSGGCTTTCGAAGAAATGCCKGAGGTATAAATTGGGCTTCGTTATTTTTAAGCCTAAGTTATTCACACTAGCGTTGTAATCTCAATTGTAGTGTGAACCAAAAAATATGTAATCATAATCATAAGGATCTGACCAATTGAATTCAACTACGCTTATCACAATCATCATGATGATGAATATTTTGAAGCTGGTGGAAAATAACAAGAAGCAATGTCTAAATTTATTTCATARAATTATTACATACTTATCCTTGTAAGCTAAATATTAATCAGGAGGTAATTGTGATTTTTCTCCCCAGGAAAACAACAACTTGAAGAGTGCCAAAGATGAGCTCAAGGTACAATTAGCTCAGAATGGAACATACGTTATGCATGAACAGGTAAAGTAATGCTGTCAAAACTGTTGCTGTTATTACAATTAGGATAAATTAATAAACATACATAGATAAGCTGACTCCGACGAAGGACTAACGTCCGAAACGTCAGTTCCTATTTCCACTACCGTGTAAAACTTATCAATCTACGATCATTGACTCCGATGAAGGACTAACGTCCGAAACGTCAGTTCCTATTTTCACTATGGTGTAAAACTTATCAATCTACGATAACTGTTTCATTAGAAACACCGACACAGTCCACGCTAGTGTTTACTAGCCATCATCTACAAACAGAATTACTTGAGACCACTCATCTAATCTGTAAAAATGTATACTGTTAAGACTGGTCCTCGTTCGCAGTCTCATTTCAGTACTCATTTAAAGTGTAGAATCTCTGTTAGGGAACCATCCTCTGTTTAATATTATTTAGCTGCTACTTGACAATTCCTAAGCTCCTAATCAATAAAGGTTTTACTGTAAATCTTGACATTGCCAGCTAATACACTATCATTCCCAACCATCTGTTTGTAAATTTAATGCTTTCTTTCAGACAAGATCCCTTGCAGATGAACTCCAATCAGCAAACAAAGACAAAGTAATTGATGCCCTTCGAGATCAAGAAGAAGAAAGCAGACGACTTCGTGGGTACCTTGACAGTTTGTTAATGATAATAATGGAACATAATCCAGCACTTTTAGAAATYACTTAGCTTGTAACTTTCCTTGTGAAAGTTTTTAATTTGTATAGAAAAAATAAGTTCCTACACAATCAGCATTTTGTTTAAATTTGATCTTATTAGCAAGTGACACAGTGTTTTAAAATGGCTGTTCTTATCATGAGGGATTGTCACATGATGTATGATAGTAGCAGGCAGGGTATTCTCTCCATTTCCACAGARGAAAAGGGATTTCCTGTCGTTCTCTGCTCAATGTTAACCTTACTCAGGAAACATTGATTAGAATAAGTCTTATACAGMTGTGGTGAGAACTGCAACATTTTTGTTGGTAAAAAAGTGTCTTTTATATTATGAACATTATTTGACCAGATCTTGGGGAACTTACTTTTAATGAATCAATTTACATTCTGTTTATTTGATGATCACAGTAGGAAAAAAGTAAAAAAGTGGCTTTTATATCAACATTATGTGACCAGATCTTGGGGAACTTATTKTAATGATTTAACCAAAGTAGGGTTGATCAGATATTTCATTGTTGAACACGAACAAGTTCAGATAACATCATCTGGTACTTGACGTATATATGTTTTGGTTCTAGATCTTGGTGGTTTTTTTAATCAACCTGATTCTATGTTCGAAGGATTTCTTTACATCAGTTTAAATGTYTGACATGGCGTAATCAACATAACAAAGATTAAAACAAATGAGAAATCTTTTGTTGAAGGACACTGTTAAGACATCAAAATGCAATTGAATAATGAATTGGATGARCAGATCATTCTGATTCTTGACTAAAGATAGTTGGTCAGAGTTTAAAAAATTCAAAAAATAATTAAGGTTTTGTTTAATTAAGCTCTTGCAATGGTTAATGAACCAGTAAATACAACTGGCTTAAACTTCAAGCAATGAGGTTGTATATTTTAGATAGGCTATGCTGGCAATAGTCGAGTTTCATCAGATACTAACCTAGATTGATTAGGATAAGCAACCTAGATATGAGAGAAATTCATAATAATTCGTTTTATCAACCATAGATTTAATAAATATGATCCGAGCTTTCAGCCTACTCATCCATCCTATGCCATTGTTTGATCGCGTTTTTCTTTGTCAATTGTAACGTTTTTTCATTTCCCTGAGGATGGCTGAGTAGGCTGAAAGCTCGGATCATATTTATTAAATCTATGATCGATAAAACAAATTATTATGAATTTAACAACAATGAACAAGGAATTATTTGAAGAGAGAAATTGTCAATAAAAGAGATTTTTGGTAATGTGAAAAATATAGAATTTAGGGAAACGACATCAATACCTTGACAACACTTTTGTATGTTAAATTTCGTGTGGCTAAAAAATCAATAGATTTTCTATATTCAAGATTCTTATAATTATTTATAACATGGCAGAAGACAGAATAATACTGTTTGGACCCATGAATGATGTAAAGAGTATAGATCAAATAATAGTCTACTGAGTGTTAATGAAGAATGGTTGTTATTGGCATCTGATTTCTTGCATTGTGTAGTTCCAAAAATTATCCATACCCCCCTCATGGAGGAATTTTTTTAAGACACCCCCTACCCCACTGAAATTCCAATTTTCTTCCGTACAAACTCTGTAATTTTTGTTCTTTCTCTGACCCCCCTACTCTTCGCAAATTCCAAATTCCTCTGTGGGGTGGGTACAGATGATTTCTGGAACTACACATTTATGACAAAACCCAAGATAACGGCCAATGTGTTGCCGATCATGATCACAGGCCAAATTAGTTTTAGCTTAGTAATACCTCATTTCTGGCAAAGCAAAGATTTGATTCGACAAGTCCCWGTTCTGGCTGGACATTGTCAGGCGYATGGTCAGATGTCTGGCTATTACGTTAAGCCCTGTTACGATATAGAGAACATAGTTACTGGATTCCAAAAATTAGTTGTTGGAAAGCTTTATGTTTCTTAAATCGAGACAAAAAGCAGCAGCTGCTCTCAGTGCTAAGGTACCTGGCAGTGGACTGCAGAGTGGAACTTGTTCTCCTTCYGGCCTTCAGCACTTGAGTGGATATTTCTGACAGTGAAACATGCCTTTTCTATGTCAGAAACTCAACTCAACTTAATATTCTCAAGCAAAGAAACTGYCTAAAATGATTGCTTAATTTTTCACATCCCTGTGCAAGTTTTTTTGTCAAAACTACTTGGGAAAAGAGAGAGGTTTTACTAGTTTATAATGAAKGTAGTAGAATTAAATTATGATCAGGAGATTATATTAAATGGCAAGTTGCACATACTTGATCCACTCTACATATTATAATAATCTTAAGTTTTAGGAATATCACTATGTAGCTATAAATTAATGAATGAATAGAGTTATAATCCTGGAATGGAAAAAAATGATTCACAAATGCCTGCATCTAAAACTAATATAATTGCATACAGAGTAATTTAAAAGCAAACATTTCACAWTTTCTGCCATAAATTACCAAGCTACTGTAATGAAAAAACCCTTTTTAAGTGAGAAAGTAACAAAATTTAAAGAAAAGATCCAAAATCTCCTTTAAATTTCTACTTTCTACAATGTTATTTTTTACTATGAATAGARTGATATATCATGAAATGTGATGTTTARCAATAGACCAGGGCCCAGTTGTATAAAGCTYTCTTAAGATAAAAAAGCTTAAAAAACACTSGAAAGTATTGTCTTAGTACAATGRCCTATTGTTTTGGAACAATACTTAYGRATGCTCTTATCTTAAGAGAGCTTTATGCAACCAGGAGGCCCAGGCTCTTAAGCTTGTGCACAATGTTTTCCCATTTTAAACTTGGTGTCATTCTCTTGCAGATAATTTTTTAAATTCATGTTTTCTAAACCCTTGCACAGCTGTTATTGCAATCCTGCTATTCAAACTTGGTATTTGCAAGCTATGTACTTACTGAAATTTAGTYCTTYGCTGCAGTCAATCAAAAATAATCAGTCAGTATATACCTTTTATATGTTTGGCTGGCRGCAGTGAAAAACTAATTTCATGACCTAAGTTCACAAAATATTTAAAATAATTGCAGTTAACGAAGAAATAATATTCYGAGRCATGACAMTTGGTCTGAAATGGGAAAACATTACCTCCAAGGTAAAGATTAACTTGCTTATGCATTTCTGTAAGGATAAAGATAGAGCTTTCACATTTAATTTCTATAAACTATAAGGAAAATGATCCCACTCTGTGCTAGAAAARGGGTTTCATTTGATTATTTTTAAGTAGAATTTTCATTTTTCCATAATCTCAATTAATCAAGTATTTTTGATGTGTGTAAATAGAGTGTAAATAATGTTTGTATCTGACTATTTCAACGCCATGTAAAAATCTGCTTTGATAACAAAATAAAAATAATTAAAAATAAATTACATTTAGTATGATTATTATTGGACAACCTTTATTATATAGCTTAGAAAGTATGTGCACTACAWTATTCATTGAGATAACATTTGGGCATTTTGAGAATATATATGAAATATATATTTGTACTGCTGTTGTAATGTRTCAAATTGAGCTGATCCTTGCAGTATATGAAGCAACTTATGCAGCTGCAAATTGAAAGGCTCAGAAAAAATTCTGACTCTTGAACCGGATTTATATCCATGCCCTGGCAATTCCGGTGCCATGCTCTAACCACCGAGCTACTTTGTACAAAGTCTTATATGAGACTTCAAGGACACATAGGTGGGTTTATCGGCCAAATAATTCATTATTATTAACGATATTTAATAATTCATTATTATTATTGATATTTACTGTGCTTTATGTTGCATCAGTATAATTTTTTGAATGATTTAAAAATTGGAACTGTAAGAAGCTTTAAAGTTAAGAATATATATAACATTAATTTTATTTAAAAAAATAAATATATCATGAGTATTTTATTGAATTTCTTTATCCATTATTTTTTAATCCTCTTTGTCTGTTCTGGTTGCCTGGACACCAGCTGGTATGAGGATATAGATAGCAGTGGAGTGACATAAATCTGGAAAAAAAACTTATTTTGTTAGCCAAATATTAGAATTAGACAAGCTTCATGTAAATGATTGCCCATTACTATACCCTGTTGTGAATTTTTTTCCAATTAGCATGTAGCAATGACAACAAYAATAGATAAACAACAAAAAATGGAATCCCTGTTTTACAAGAGTCAGTAAAAACATGCAAGTCATGGCACCCAGAGAAAACTACCCAGGCTTATTGTTACCCCAGATTAAACCACCACAGCGTTTGTAGTGTTTGATAAATACTGCTTGCTGGTTACTAGTCCAGAACTGGACCTGCTTTTCACAATACTCCCATTTCAAGTTYGCCTTTGCTCAGTCTTAGCCTCAATTGYATACAAATGTGTTCTTTTCATTTATTAAGTCCATTGTATAGTAAGAAATGTGGGTTGTGTGTACTACRGTATGATATGTGTTGATTAAAATGCCATGGGTGGTTGAATAGCTGAATATTTTAAGCACAGACTAGACTAAGGCTGAGCAAAGAGAMCTCAAARCAGGAGTGTTGTGTTTATTGTTTTAGGCATGCAATCCTAGTTTAGTACAAAATTCTGTATACTTATTGTGAGCATATTTCAATCCCATGCATCGTTGCATACCCATGTGCATTAATTTGGATCAGAATTAACACTATAAACAGTAAAAAAAGTGAGTCCAGTTCTGGACTAGGTAGTTACCTGCTGGCATCCTCACGAATACTGAATGGTCCATCAATCTGGATGTGGTTTCTCATTCCACCCAAAATCCCATGACTAAAAGACACCTGTGRAACATCAATCAGACAAATGCGTTACAAGGCAAACTTGCTACCAGAAATGTATGTTTATGGGTTTTTGTGGGCTTACTAACAATCTAACAAGTTTATTTATAAAAATGATGATGATGATGATGATGATGACGACAATGATGATGATGAAATGGAATGTCATTAAAGTGACTTTTTATTTCATTCTGCTGCCACTGCACTGTAAGGGTTGAATGTAAATAGACGAAACCGAATAGACCCACACACCCAACAACCAAGCGAAAAACTAAGTGACTAGTGGTGGTTTAAATAATTGCTTGTCAAATGAACCCTTTACCTCAAGCGTAATGTTTTCCCATTTCAGACTACCTGTCATTCCCTTGRGAATTCGATTCTTTGTTTGAGYTGTATCCATATTCATGTGTCTTCTTATGAGCAACCATCAAACAAAGAAACTATGCTCTAAGGAATGGAACATGGTATATGAAATAGAAAAACATTATACACAAGGTAAAGAAATCTACAAAAGTTTACTTGTCCCATTTCTCCTTTACCTGGTCATGAAATGTATGTTCTGGGATATATCCCAACCATTCAAGATGAGAATGGAATAAATGAATTTCTTTTAGTTTTACATTTAACAGATATTCTGGAAAARAAAAGCGAATAGTATAATCAGTCAGTAACTTCTCTATATAACAGTCTCAAAAACAGTTTTTCATATTTAACAAGGAATGCAGAGTACCCAAGGGCTTAGATAATAATATGAATATGAAATTATAAATAGCAGACTATCTAGTATGCATCAAAATAAAAGTTGACGGATGGATTAAAATATTAGCAATTAATGTTACCAAGTGTGTATGTTTGTGGGTGGGGAGGGGGTTGTCAGTCAACCCCCAGGGCTAACTAGATAATTTKTAGAAGTTGTTTTTAGCCATGAGAATACTGCACTTGTAGGAATACTGCATGTTCACTTACCACTTATAAATCCAATGACACAGTCATCTGGTACACCAATACGAGAACAAGTGTCAGGGAAAGCTTTTTCACCACTAAAACAAAATGACATTATTAGTAATTATTAGAGGAAGTAGGGAAGAGGAGAATGAGATATTGGTTGCTACTTATATCCAGGTGATTTGGAATCAAGATGCACAATTTTGATGCATTTTTTGTAACAGTAACAATTTTCCAAGTATTTTCTATTATGATCTCTTGTCATGAAAAATRTTCTTAACCAAAAAATGACAAAATGTGCTATATTTTCTGAAATATTTTTGGTGAGATTCTTCACTGATTGTTAATCATCAGGGCTGAGAAAGAAGCAAATTAAAATCACCTGGCAGGTAGTAATTTTATTTATGACTTTATGAGTACCTCRCTGCATGTGTGAGCGTCTTTTTTAAATAGTTTTAATTAACATTACTTCATCAAGCCTGACAACTGAGTAATGAATACCTGAAGTACGGAACCATTAGAGAAACAAGTCTACGGCTTAGACAAACACCTGCCCCTCCAGTAGCGAACCAGAACCTCACTTCCTAAATTGAAAAATAAAGAGAAATTAAGTCAGTGGGGGTGTCTACTACTCATTAATTAAAACCAGTTTACCCAAGACCATCATCAATGACATACAAATAAATATAAGTTAAAAAAGCTGCATAATACCACTTTTCCAAAAGCCAATAAATTTAACACAAGTTAGAATAGTTTATAGTTACTGGATTTACGACATACCTTGCCATTATCTTTTTTATCCCAAATCTAGAAAAATAATGAAAGTGTATTTTAGTCACTTGTTTATATTTCAAAATGAATAAAAATTGAAATACATTTAAGCAGCCATATCAAATTGGATTTTAGTAAATGGCATTTCCAGAGTGGTTTTTTATC